CTGCCACAGACATTATCTTCTCATCTTCATCTGCTTTTGTAATACATTTCGTACGAATAGCTTCCGTTGCGATAAGAATATTATTAACGATGGAACCATAACATGATTGATAAATAGGCCGTGGAAGATCCATGAACGCAAAGAATTTAATAATACCATTTAAGCCAATTCCTAATAAACGCATCGCAAATATTATTCGGCGATTAACTTCGTATGCGTTATTAATTAAGGGACAACTATTTGTATAAACTTTTTCGCAACCTTCACAACTAATTATAAGTTTGAAGTCTAAACCAGTGATGCACATTTGGCTCCCCGGCAACACGGAATCCAGCCCCACCACTTGTACCCCCACCTACCGGCATCGAGTCGGCCGTCTTCGCCGCGAGAGCGAGCGAGACAGCGAGAGGCAGCGCCCGTCCTTCTCGCTCTACCAGTAACTCGTAAACAGAAGCGTAAACACAAGTATTAGAGCTCTAATACTCGCTTGTGTTTACGAGTTACTGGTAGAGCGAGAAGGACGAGCGCTGCCTCTCGCTGTCTCGCTCGCTCTCGCGGTGAAGACGGCCGACTCGATGCCGGTAGGTGTCTACTTGGTGGGGGTACAAGTGGTGGGGCTGGATTCCGTGTTGCCGCCCCAAATGTGCATCACTGGCCTAAACCACGCTTGCTTGCTTGTGTAAATGTTACGTTCTTCCCGCATTCCTTACACACTAAAATTTCAGAAAGAGCAGAAAAAACTGCAACAAAATTTATCAAATGGTATCCAAATGATTTGTTTACTTGAATGCCATGATCCTCTTTAGATAGCTTTAGTTTCTTTGCTGCTGTACAGACGCTCTCAGATTCTCCTTCCATAGTGTGTCGATTAGGCGGTCGTTTATTTGAGCTCTTACTTCTTTTTGAAGACCAAGTTTTTTCTTTTGTACCTTTCTTTGTTCTATATATTTTATCACTCATGATAGTAACAATTTATTCCACAGAACTTTAAAAACTGAAGCAGCAACAACAACAGGCGTATGACAGCCTTCTGTCGTTTCAACGGTTATACTAACCGTTATATTCAATATTTTAGGTCGAAAATTACCAGCATCCTCTAGGATGACATACTGAAGCTCATTGTTCAACAGCGATCGGTATCATGTATCTTAAGAGTACAGAAATATTGAACCGCTGCGCGCTTCTCCGAAACGCTTCAATGGCGTCATGCCTTGTTTCAAAAAATCAGTTATAAAACTACTTAAAAAATTTTTTTCATGTATAAGATCAATTGCACCTTATTTTAAAGACTCTAAAGCATCATTTAAAAGAAAAAAAATTTTTTCGATTTTTTTAAAATTTCACAGTGGTGTTCCCCCTTAAACAAGGATGAGATGGTCATTGTGTTGTACTGAGTCGCTTGTGGACGTGTTCTGATTCTCATCAGGGTGCTCCTCGGATGTCATGTCATTCTTGTTTAACGTTTGTTAAATAACAAAGATGACGTGACACCTGGAGAGCACTCAGATGAGAATCTGAACATGTCTGGAAGGAACCCCTATAGTCCCTGCACACGTACTACACAGAAACCTGAGAGAGGATATGAGGGCCTTTATCCTGTAACTGCAAAATACCTTATGCACTACAGCCCTCTGAAGAAGTGGATGTCAACTACACCACATTATCTAGTTTTTTGCGATTGAAATAAATCGCTGAAATTGTTAAAATTTCCATTAATTTGATAGATTTTAATTATTTCAGCGATTTATTTCTAACAGTAGCACCGCAAAAAAGTGGATATTGTTGTACACCCTCCTCTCCCCCTCCTCAATATTTTTCGATGTCGACACCCCAATATTTTTCGCAAGTCGCCGCCTGTAATAAGAATAATAGAATGTTTGTTGTCAACCAATAAATATCTAATTGATAGACGGTTTATAGACAGTAAATGGGTAATAAATGGCCCATTACTAGGCTTCCGACTTATTAAATAAAATTTGATTCCTTTTTTTTTCAGGATATTGTATTGACGTTGCTGTGCGCCGTTTGCGGTGTATTAGGAGATCGACACTATATCGCTATTCCTGTTGATGGTATTGATGGTATCGACGTCATCAAGGTGAATGCAATCGCACATTCATTATCAAGGGTAGCAAAACAAACAAAAGCATATGTACCATTCGCTGTATCTAGTATTTCTCATCAAGATGATTCCGAGGTTCAGCAGCGTTCCGAGCGATTGGCAACGCATGTCCTGGATTATGTTGATTTCGGAGGACATACCGGCTCCAATGGAGCTTTCAGTTGGTATGCTGATTATCCGGCTCATCGTTCGTAATTTTCTGAAATAATAACTTACCGAAACAAATCGAAGAGAACATCATGAAACATTATTAATGTAGTATATAATATTAGAAGTTATGTATATATAGGGTAAAGTCTAGAGATCTTTTAATAAGAGTTGCGACATGAGAAAGCCGCATTTTGATTGGTCCATGTTTTAACAATTCCCGCCTATATTTGAATATCTATATTCGTGTTACTCTTAAATTTCAACAATATAATTAAAATTAATTTGAAGGTATTAATAAATGGATTTCTTACATTACATGTCGAGATAACGCATGCGAGAAAAATTGATAGTTTAACCTTTTTTCTTAAATAAAATTATTTTGAAAATTTAAAGATTTGTGTGTGATTATATACTTTAAAACGAGAATTAAAAGATACAAAAGTGAACAAGCTCACTAGAATATTTATAACTTCATTAGTCAACACATAATTAATAATTTTATAATTTTCACATCGTTTTTCAATTTGGTAAAATAGTGTTTATGGTTAATTGCTTTGATTTTTATATGTTGTCAAGATTATAATCCTGAACATTAAAAGATTTTAATCTTAATAATTTTAATATCTTTAAATTGCTAATTTAATATTTGAGGTATGCACATAATATTAGGCTGTTTTCCTTTTAGGAGACACAAATCGATACAGTTTAACACGCTCGAACACAGTTTACTACATTTAAATGGAACGCGATATGTGCAGTGTGTATGCGAATTTTTAATATCTAATCTTTTAAAAGATTTTAGTCAAAAATGGTCAAAAAACAGAACAAAATGATAGGAATTGGTTTGCGTATACATTCTAACATCATTAAATTCGTCAAAATCACAATTGACACATTCTGACTCTCCTCCCTAGCAGAACTCTGATAAAAAAATCTGATAAGAATTTATAAGAAACGATTAAATTCTTATAAGACTTTATCGCTATTTATAAAGCCCCTATCGTAAGTATTTTTAAAGTTAGATACAATTACTATCGTTTCGAATCGACTTTTATAATATCTGGTTTTAATCGTTCTAGATCAATAGAAATTCTTTAGGTATGTCTCGTATTTATATACATATTCGTTGCTTATATGGCTTTGACGATAGAAAATCACTCGGGACTTATTTGACATTTTACACAAACATCTTCTATAAGTCCCTTAATAAATCAAACTAATCAAGACTCTTTACAAATCAAAGAATTGGAAAGAATAAGGGCACTAGGAGTCGGACGCAGAAGACGTCGCGCAAATAATACACTTATAAAGAGTGAAACTTCTTTATTCACTAAAACGCGCTTACATGTTTCGACTCATTTTTTAGCCTTCCTTAGAGCAAACACACACTAACATATATAAAGTAAAAGTTATCCTGTCATGGTAAGCTCCCCTACATCGAGAATTTAAATGCCAGAATTAAATAAAAAGAAAGAAAAGAAAATGAAAAAGAAGGAAAATATTAAAAATGTTCTATGTATAAGATTCTATATGGAATATGTGATAGAAATCTTATCAGTTCCTATGAATAATTCACATATTCGTTGCATATATGGCGTTGATGATACAAAATCTTTCGGAACTTATTCGATATTTTACATAACGGTTTTCTATCTGATGTAATATGAAAGACACGCTAGAAGACTTATCAGTATGTCCTCTATTTCTAATAAGTTAGAGATGTAGTCGTTATTTATATAGAATTAAAGACAAAATTATATATATATATATATATATAAAGTTGTTTGTGTGTGATAATTCTAGGTTCTCGGACTTTGCTGATAATTGTTCGTGCACTGCTCGAAAATCGAACATATTAACAACATACCTTGGACATTCCTAAAATATATCTGTGTAAATAAATTCATTATAGGACTTCCAAGCAATGTTCTTGGAACGTATTATACGCGTGTAACGTACAGCGACATAAACAAGACTTTTCAAAACATATTTCGGACGTCCAAGGACGTCAAATTGTTGCTTAGAATGTTGTGGCTATAACAGATTTTCCTCTGATAAAAAAATCCAATAGAAAATGATAGAAAAATCCTATCGTTTTAAATATGGAATTTGGTTCGTGAATTCACTAATATGGATCAAATCTTATAGAAACCTTATACAAATCTTATAGAATCCGATAAAATAGGTATGATAGGATTTATATCTGATCAATCGTGATGTTCGCGAGGTCGACGATACAAAATGATATAAACTTATAAAAAACGATACAAATTGATAGAAATCCTATCGTTCTCAATCGTTTTCTATAAACTTTTTTTATCAAGGTATCTAACCTGAATAGTCAACTTTAATGCTATTAATATCTCGTGATTGGCCAGTCGAAGGCCGTAGTAAAGAATTATTCCCCACACAGAATATTTCGATTTTTGTTGTTTAAAACCGTAGACACCTATAAACCGGAACACCACATAAACTCAGATTAATTTTACGGTAAAGAATTTCCTATTAGCAATAATAGACCTTTCGATGCATGTAATTCTCCGTATAGAACACTATTCAACAGCTACAGCAAATTCACCATAAAACTTATACGAGGAGTCGAATAACAGTCGAATGTTAAATCGTTCTGAGTAGCGTGCGATTATAGCTCAACGTATTAGGTTATCGTTCCATAGGTCTTATTAGGTATTAAACTTAATTCCTATCGCTCGCTACTAGAGGGCTCTGCCTCCAACGCTGACGAGTTTCGACGATGAAGTCACATGTCTTTTGTAATTTAGAATAGCTGAAAGTGGTTCAATCCTCACAGGTTAGATTTCTCGACGCCAAAGAGATTTTCCAATTGATTGAAAATGAATCGCGATAAGCTGTTTTTCCGACATGTGCTTCTTCACTACTTCGACCTCAAGAAAACCGCAGCTGAAGCGCATCGTTTATTATCCGAAGTGTATGGTGATGAAACTCCATCGGAACCAACATGTAGAGTTTAGTTTCAACGCTTCCGAAACGGTGATTTTAATGTGGAAGACAAAGAACGTCCAGAACAGCCAAAAAAATTTGAAGATGTCGAGCTGCAAGAATTGCTCGATGAGAATTCAGACGCTTTTAGAGTTGTCGGAACAGTTAAATGTTACTCCAATGGCCGTCTCAAAACGCTTGCATGCCATGGGAAAGATTCATAAGGGAGGGAAATGGCTACCACATGAATTGTCAGAAAATGCCATTTTGAATCGTTTACTATTGCGACTTCTTTGCTTGCCAGGTAAAGAAAAGAGTTTTTTGTGGCGCATCGTGACTGACGATGAAAAATGGATTTATTTTAATAATCCCAAGCGGAAAAAATCATGGGTGGACTCCGGCCAATCATCCGCTTCAACGCCGAAGAGGAATATTCACGAGCATAAGACCTTGCTGTGCATTTGGTGGGACCAGAAAGGTGTGCTGTATTACGAACTCTTGGGTCCAAATGAAACCGTTACAGCTGATCGCTACCAACAGCAATTATACCGATTGAGTGACGTATTAATGCAAAAAAGATCATCCGTAGTCAACAATCGATGCAAAGTCATTTTGTTGCATGATAACGCTCGACCGCATGTCGCGAAAAGCGT